TGTAAATATATAAATATATATAAATAAATTAAAAAAAAAATTTAATAATATAACAAACAGAAGAAGGAAGCTCTGAAGTCGAGTAATAGAAATTTCACTGATGTGCGATATATTATTGCTAATTGTATAATTCATAATTACTGTATATATGTTAATATTATTATTATTATTATTATTAATTATAAGATAAATTTCGAGAATAAAAGGCGAAGAATGATGCAGCAAGAAAAGGTAGTTTTTTAAATGTTGGCAAGTGATATAAGTTAGGGCCATCGTGTTTCATTTCTACATAACTAATTCGCGTTTCAATTGAAAACGAAATCTACTACTATCATAGTTATTATTTTATGTTTTAGTTGTATATGTGTAAAATTTTTATTTTTCATTTTGTTTTTTTCTCTATCTCCTCCAGTTTCCTTTTTATTTTGAATTCGTTTGTGCAATAAAAATTAGACAGCTATTGGATGTGTTTCATTCCGCTTCATCATCATCAACATCATATTCTAGAATCCTGCTCCAATTCCATTCCTTTTCGAATTATGTTGGGAGCTGAAATGTGGTATTACTACGGTGGGTAATTATTCTCTATGTAAACATTTTATTGTTGTTATCTGCAGATGCATCGGTATTTCACATTTCGTTCCGTTTGTTGCTGTTCGTTTAATTGTTTTTTTTTTGTTTGTTTGCAGTTCATTACGTTATATCCGCTCGACACGACACTTTTGCATCACTGATTTTTAACTGCGAACATCCATCACCATTACTTTTTATCATTTACATGTAGTGATTTCATTTTGTATTGTAATATAGACTCTTCTACACTAAACAAGTGTTTCTCACATACCAATTGCATACTTCGAGTACTATAAGTAAGTATAATTTTAATATTATAATACTGTTTGTAGTTTATTAGATTTTTAGTGGTTTAAGCTTTAATTTACACTCTTATACCAAATAAATCATAATAAATTCTAAAGTATGCAAAAACCATAGAACGCGTTTTCAAAATTTACAAATATTTGTGGTATCATAGATTATTGCGATTCCATCAAATGGTCAGCACATTTATATTATTACAAACACTTTTTTATGGTTCAAATACGGTACTTAAATTCATTGAAAAGTTGTTATCTTTATCGACTACGTTGTGACTAAATATAAACAGAATCTTAATTATAGTCTAAGTAGATTTTAATTTTATTGATATTAAAAATGTAAAAAAAAATATCATTTTTCTCTCATTATTAAATTATGTTAACATCAACTACAAAACGTAAGATTTTTACTGCATTTAATATATATAAACCAATCAATTATCATGATGGTAAATCTTGGAACTATAAAAATTTTTAAAGAAAAACGGTTGTTAATAGAATCGTTTAACTATAATACGAGACATGTTTATAAAGTTATAAAAAATATACGGAGTTTTTAACAAAAAAACAGGATAAACGTAAGGACATACAAATAGTATTTGATGCGATCTAGTGGAAATTTGTAAACGTAATGTGTTGAGGAGAAACCCATTAAATATTTTAATCTCCGCCAAAGTAAAAAGGACGAAGCTTCGATATCGGCTAAATCTGATTTAAGAGATTTACCGATTCACTTGGAGAGAGAATATATATATATATATGAGCGGCGATTAGTTGATGCTGCGAGGGGCTATTAAATTCTTTAGGAAGCCTGCAGTGAAATTATGGGCGACTATTACGGAGTGGATCTAAAGTTATATACTTTAGAGGCCTCGTTGGAAGGTAATTTGTGGACCTTTCAATGTGCGATGTGCGTCGACCGAGTGGACGAGGATTAAAAATGCATCATTGGCAAAGAGTTTTCTCCACGGTCCAAGAGTGATGTGGCACAGAGGAGAAGACAAAGCAACACTCTGTCCAGAACAGTTGTTTGCACTTGAAAAGAAGGAAGAAAAAATAAATAAAATGAAATAAGTAAAAAGAGAAGACGAAGAAATGAGCAAAACACGTAGATTAAATGGCGTGCGCGTTTCTTGCCTTATGTAGTCCGAGATGCTCCTTGGAAATCAATTACCCGGGCTTTTGAGAGAGGAAGCAGCGAGTGAACAGACGGCGAAGAGAACCTCTTCTCCAATGCCTACTTGATTAATTTAATCGGAACCAAGAAAGCCGTAATAATCTCTTGCGTTATTAACCGACACACTGAACTTGACTTTACGTTATGTAAACGCACACACACATACACAAACGAGAATCTATCCTTGTGATCTTACACCATTCGGCCTATCTCTCTCCATCTCCTCCGACTCTCCGCATCTCGATGGTCGCTTTATTAGCCGGATTATGTAACGCTTTTTGTAGAATACGCGGCCGCTAATTATTCGAAGAATTACACATCATTAACCCGATTGTTCATTTGCTTATATTACATATTTGTTTAATTAAAGTAAAAATTACATTCATTATTATTACACTGTTGATATTTTGCGACGGTTAATTATCATAAACAAATAGTTTTGTTAATAATGGAACGAAAGAAAACGAAGGCTTGTGGGTGGAAGAGCGGAAGAAGTGAATTTTACAATGGGTTTTAAGGTCAATTTGTATTTAATGGCGGAAAAATGGTAGTCGATTCGTGGGGCGAGTGAAGTTTACGAGCGCAATAAAAGTGTCAAAACATTTGTAAAGTTTTTAACTTTACGATTTGGCCATTTGTAGCGTTCCCCAAAAAGTAAATAAGGATAGGACAATAAATATCAGGAGTTATGGACTGTGCGTTTGTGCGACGCGATCTCTGCCGTTCGCTCGCTCGCATCCTCCGCCTCTTCCTCCTCCTCAGAGGATAGTGGAAGTATCCGGTTACTAATGGTGTGAACGTGAAATCGTTCGGCACATTTTAATACCCCCGGTCCGAAGAGCAGCAGAAGAGAAGAGCCTTCCCCAAGGTTTTCCTTTTCCGACGCGTTTCCCATAATAATAATCAACGCAATAATGACGATCGCATCTGGAAACACGTGTTAATTAGGGGGAATCGGTTTCCTCGAGAATCGTACACGTGAGGGCGGCTTCCTTAAGAACCTCTTAGATCATTACGCGTCGATGATTGATGGTTACTCGGATCAATTATGGCACGGAAGTGTGGCAACGGGAATTTGTCGATGCTGCGGAAAATATCCGCAAAGACCGAAAAGGGAGATGGCACCATCCGTTTTGGATTACAGACAAATCGCCTTACAGGGCGTTTCCATTAAATCCGAGATCCATCAAACACACAGTTTCCCTTTTTCATATTTATTTGTTTTTGAGCTTCCTCCTAAATGGACCGATACATTTTATCTACAAAATTTAATTAAAAAAACATTTTCTATCACTTAACACAAATTAGTTTATTAAATAGAAAAGCAAAAAAAACTCAGTTTTCTTTTCAGTGCATTCATGTTTTCACAGTAAATATAAGTATTAAGTACAGTTTAAATCAGGGGTTCCCAAACTTTTTTGTGTCGTAGACTTTATAATTATTAAGATCTTTGCTCTGACACTGACATTATGTGCAGGTTTTTACAAGTTCAAAATGTATTGCGACCACAAAGCGAATGCCTACATCCTACAAGTTACACAATTTTATAAACATATATAATATTTTTTTTACTTCATAGATACTTTTATAAATAATGTATAAGTCTTTATATTATAAGATAGTATAATGTCAGTGTATGTTGAGATCGGGTCTATATCGAAAGCCCGACAACCAAAACCCCGACGTTGGAAATCCCGACTGTATCAAAATCCCTACAACCATAATCCCGACTATATCGAAATCCCGACTGTATCAAAATCTCGACAATATCGAACTCCCGACAGTGTCTTTTATTATTATAATTTATACAATAACATTTTTAAATTATTCCGAAACGTAGTCACCATCTACTATTATTTAATATTAATAACAATAATAATTTAATTTCTTAATTTTAATGTTTTATTAAGTCAATGAAAACAAATACAATAATAAATATATATTGTTATTAATAGTTAATAACAACAATATAATAACTCCCCGTTATATTCTAGAAATAAAAAACTCGAGCGATGAATTTTTAAAATTATCTTTATTATAATACAAAATGAATAAAATAATTATAATGAAACACTATGAGCTATTCCGC